TCATGGCTGAAAGGTGATTGCAAGTAAAAATCACAGTCTTGCTCAGTAAATGTTGCTGTAATTAAAGGAGAACTTTTACCTGTCAAGTTTGTTTTTAAATTAGAAGGAAAATTAGAATTGAGTGACTTGGTCTACTCACAAGAATTGTAATTGTGCAAAGGGATGATTTAGAAGCAAAGCCTATTAGCTTCAGCTGAATCACATTCCAATCTTTATTCCATCAGTTTTTCAGAGCAGAAATAGAAACATTAAAGAGGAATAATGCAAATGACACTGACAGTATTTTCAAAATAAATTCATCTCTATAAAGTTTACCTCATTCATTGGCTTCTCCTCCTCTGGAAGCCAGGCCCGCTAACACTCGGGTTATACCTACAACGCAATGCAGGACTTGCTGCAGATGCCAAATTCACATTTTGTAGTAAATCCATTTAAATTACAGCTTCTGAATTAGTGGACATGTTCGCTGTCCTCACCTTTGGAAAACACTGTTTCCTAAGAACCCAAAGAGAAGAATTTTATTTCTGTTTTAACTTAATTCAGCTACGGGCCCTTTCAAGGTTAATTTAATGTTCTTCTGGTTCTCACTACGGGAATCTGCTCTGCCGGTGGCTCTTGTCAGGTCCAGCCCTATTCCCTGGCCTGGGAAGTGTTAGATCTTTGCCGTAAGCTTTCAAAAAACTGTAGAAAACTTGTAGGACATTTTCTGCCAGGCTGAATGCCCTCTATCATGCAAGAGGTGTACCCCGAACTCTGAGGTAAGGCTTCTGCTGACATGTGGGAAAAACTCTGACCAGAGGAGCTGCCAGCTTGGCAGGGATGACTGCGTTTTGAGTGATAACCTGGCATAGCTTGGGAGTCCTATAATCAGTCAGTCTTTGCCACCATCTGGGAGAGGAGTGCTGCGCGGGTTTGGAGGCAGGATCCAGAACTGAGGATTTTTGGAAAGCAACGGTGGCATTTGAGTTTCTTCCCTTCTTTACTGATGCTACCCCAAAACTGGCTGGCAGCTTATTTTGGAGCGCAAGGTTGCACTCTGGTTCTCTTCCTGAAGGACAAATTCAGTGTTGCTTTTGGAATCTGAGAGTAAACCCAGGAGCTGAACTGGCAATAACAAAAGTTGCTGAGCTGGCTCTACTGAGAGATGCCACCGGAGTTCCTCAGGTGTGTACACAGAGTGCCTGACACACCAGCAGGGCAGCTGGGAAGTGAGGTGTGATTATTATCTGAGCTTCAGAAACTGCTGATCACTCTATTAACTCTTGTCACCCCCCACCAAATACCATTTTCTGTTAAAACAGAGAGTATTTGTCAAAAGGGAATCATGAAACTGCAGTGTCCTCCAAGGTATTACTTGCTCCTGCTGAAATAACAAAGCTCTGGAGAGAGATTTTTATCTGGAGAGTGTCTTTTTCCTGCATGATAATGTTGCTCTTTGGATGTGATGGGCTCAAAACAAATCAAAGAGGTGAAATTCTCAGCTATACTAATGACCTGTGCTCCTGCAGCTTGCAGAGTACCTGTGAATCCTCTGCTCGCACTGCACACCTCACTTGCTCCTCGGGAATTCTCTGTAAATCCGTAGGGTGTTTGGTCAGGGAGAGCAGGAGGAAGGCACAGCCCAGTTGCTCTGTCCTTTATCTCTCCCTGCACGTAGCAGAGAGGCCAAGGGACTTTCATCTGAGCTCTTGCAAATTATGCAGCCCTGCAAAGCAAACAGCTTTGTGAGCTGTGCCGGGCTTCGGAGCCAGCATGTGCTCTTTGCACCGGCGCTTAGGATCAGTGCAGGAGCTCTGCTTGAGGGCGACTGGATGGGATCTTAAACCAGCTGGCTCTGGAGTGAGCAAAGATTTTAAGCAGATTAATGTCACCGTGATACCCGGTGTTGTGATGGAGTAAGAGTCTTGCCTGTGCTCACGTGAGTCGGTGGCATTGCACGTAGCATCTCCTTTCTCCCAGGTCCTTTCTCTGCCCACCGCTTGGCAGGCTCCCCAAGCATCCCCCCTGGGCTGAGGGGTACACCTTGGGTTCCTGTAGCTCAGAACCTGAAAGAAGTCAGGATTCTTCCCCTGTCCTGAAGAGCTGGATAGATTCTACATTGGTGCTTTATCTGTTCTTTTGCAACGCTGGGGAAAACCAACCGCAAAGGCAGTTGAGTGGAGCCGTGGAGATGGCACCGGCTTAGTGCTGGTGGAGAGAGCAGACTGAGCCCATTATCATCTCCTCTCGGAGAGGCTGACCTCCATCCCCTGCCCCTCTCCACCCAGAACTGCTGTCAGTAACACGGAGAGCAGCATCTGTGCTGCAGAGCTCGCGGCTCGCCTGGGTACAGCGGCCACCAGTGGCTTGGTTGCAGGCCCAGGGGTGACATTATTTGTTTTCAAAACTCCCATAAACTGAACTGTGTTTTTATGACACCGTAACCAGAGGCACTTATTGTACCAAATAAAAAGACTTCCATTTGAATTTAATAGACGCAGCTGATTATGCTCAATGACAATTTTTATACTATTGGGTGGATTTGAACTTGAAAATCTTTCCAGACTTGCTGAACTGAGGGCTCCTTTCAGCTGACTGATCGATCCCCCTGAGCAGTGCTCTCATCTCTAGTCCTTTGGAGACCTTCTTCTTTGGTGCTGTTGTCCTGCAACAGAATTAGTGATACAGGCAGCTGGCTTGTGTTTTCCAATGAGTCAAAGCAACTATAAAATCAGATATAACAGGGGAGAAGTCACCTAAGTGATAAACCTACCCCACTGCTTTCATTTCCTTATAACAAGAATAAATATATTTTGCTTTGGTTACAAGAACACCTTTCTCTTCCATTTATTCTGATATTCCTCCTGCACTTTGTTCTCGCAAATATTCAAACCATTGTTTATTTCTCGTTAAAGTTTTTATTGTCCCTAACAATGATCTAGACATTCCCATCCCTCCTCCAGCACAGCCTACCCAGTGGAGGAATTCAGCTTTTCAGACTGCAGATGAAAACAGGCTTCTGAGAGATGGAATTGCTGAATTTTCCCACCAGGATGGCTTCACAGCTTTAAAGTGGCAAGGCAATTTGTTCGCTGTTCTTTTGCTGATGGCTCAGTACTCAGTGTCACAGTAGAGCAGGGAGTCCCACCTCCTCTTGGGTTTCTCAGGGCTTGTGTCAGTCTGGCTTTATGAACTCCTCCTGGGCTGTCCTGGAACCAGAAGTGAGTCTCCTTTGAAGAGATTTAGTGATATTGACCTGCAGTAAGGGACAGACTTTCAGGAGGTCTCAGCTTCTCTTTTAGCTGCATGAGGAAAAGCTCAGCCCTTCAGAACTGCTCATACCCAGTGTCTGCTGGTGGTCGTGGTGCTCGGGGAAGAGGAATTCCCCGTTGTTTTAGTGGAAGCTTCTGGATGCTGAGGAGTTACGAGAATCTAGTCCTTAGGCTGGCAGAGGAAATTTGTCCTCTCTGACTAAAGACTAGGTAACAAAATCCCCAAGTGCTGACCGGGGCAGGTAGATTGTGATGACTGTGGATTTCAGAATACAGCAAACCAAGAGATTTCAGCAACTCCTCCCAGTAAATCTGTTTCCTTCTTGTTTCTCTCCACCTTTTCCAACGCTGTGCTCACTTCTTCTCCTTAGCACTAAGCCCCTCTACTGAGTAGCAAAAGGTTTATACTTTTGTCAGAGAACAATGTACACATCTTAACAGCCAGTCCATTAGTCCTTCAATGGTTATTTTAATTAACTAATCTGTTCCAAACATCAAGAGCCTGTTGAGCCATCTGGACTGATTAAAGTCACATATTGCATTACTAATGCACTGATTAAATCCTTCATTTTGCTCCAAGCCCTAAGTGCGTCCAAATGTTACCACTCAAAAGCTGCTTCACGCAAACAGCTAGAGGAGGTTTGAATTTTGACCGTGCAAATTTGCTGGGAATTTTGCGTTAGGTTTGGGCAGAGGTATGCTGGTAACCCTGGCTGCTGGCATTGTGGGGAAAGCCTGCGCTGGCATCAGCCAAGCCTCTCGGGCTGAGCTGCCCAGGAGGTGAGCAGAGGCTCCACAGCTGAGTTTCTGTGCAGGGCTCTTCAAAGAGCTTTTTCCACTTGTGCGAGCAGACAGCCCCATCCTGGGGCACTCGTACACGTGTCTGGGAAGCAGGAAACCTGGGACTGTGGTGTCGGGTATTCCCTGCTGTGGAAATTCCCTACTTACTAGCAAGATTTGGGGAAATAAGAGGCGGTGTTTGCTGAGACAGCCTTCAGGCTGGGGCACAAAGGATTTAGGCTTCTAGAAATCAAATTTACCAAAGATGCTAAAATATCTTAGGATGCAAATCACGCCCCTTAATCTTTGCTGAAATCTACAGGCCAGCTGGTGAGAGTACCACTGAAATAGCCTCAACAGCCTGACTGTGCTTCCCCTCTCCACAGAAAATATAAATCCACTATAAATCCACCTTGTGCTCAGAAGCGCTTCCTCCCATTTTGGCCGTGAGCACACAGCCAAGGAGACCTGGAGGCTGGTCTCTGGAAGAGATTTTATCTGTCGTTACTTCAAGTGCTCAGCTTGCACAGGACACCTCAAACAGGGAAGGCAGTTTCTGCCTTTCCAGCCAGGCAGCCTGTAGCATATGACAACAATAATCTGCAGAGGAGGTTTTCCTCTCCCTCCTGTGCCCTGACTGGAAGGGTGCATTCCCACATCCTTACCAGAAGGGTTTGTATTATCATGGAAATCACCTTACAATAAAAATGTGTGGGGTTTTGCAAGTATTGTTGACTTTAATTTGGTTTATGAACCCATAACTCTCAGGCTCCCAGTTTTATAGTATGGGACAGATCAGTGCACCTTCCAGCCAAGAACCTTAACACGCTCGGTAGCTGCTGTGAAATTTAATGATTATTTCCTAATTTAAATAAGACAATCATTGCTCTTACAAGGGAGCTAAGGCACAGGGAGGACAGGTGATTTAGCAGAGAACAGGAAGTTGAACTAAGACAACTTGTCTCCTACCTGGACATCTCCCACCATGGCAGATCACCTCCTCTCTTACCCTCGTGGCACCCAGAATCTGGGGGTTTGTAACTCAGCAACATCCAGAGATTTGAACGTACACATCTTAGAGGAAAAGTAATCCAGCAGCAGTGTGTGCCACAAAGGGTGCAGCCGGCTCAGGTTACTGAATGGACAGCAGTGTTTTTCAGACCTTGTACTTCCAGCCTTCCAGAGCTAAAAACAAGTCTCACGACAGTGGTGGCTTTTGAGATGAAGGACTTGACTGAGCTGGGTTCCCCGCGGGCTCCCCACTAACAGGGCTCTTGTTGCTTGCAGGTAAACGGCCACTTGGACTACATGAAGCAAATGGAGACGATCCTAAAAGCTGTGGGCATTAAAACCAAGGAATGTCGGCTGGAAGAGAGGGGCACCAGCAGTCTTTTCTCCCCTCCAGCCAAGAAATCACAGCGGGCAGCAGGCAGTGAGACTCAGGAGGAGGAAAGCACCGTGCGAGAGGAGGCTGCGGCTGAGGGTGAGGCTCTCCCAGCCGGCCCTGCTCAGCGCCGTGATTCCCCCGGCTGGCTCTCGGGAGAGACCTCACTGCCCTGCCTGGAGGGTTCAACCAGCAGGGACAGCAAGGAGCAGGCAGCGGGTGAAGGAGCAAATTAGAGCTCTCTGTGATGGGCAGGGATGCTCAGCCAGCACTAACGCCGCTTTCAAAGCACCGTCCGTTGCGTTGGGATTCCCAAAGGAGCATCGGCAGAGCTGTAGCTGCAGTTTTCACACCCTCCTGAGAACCTGGAGCGGGACACCGGCGTGTCGCTGGATCAAAGTGTTCGGAGCAGCCGCCCACAGCATCTCCCACGGAGGAGAAAGGGCTGATTCCTGCCTGATTCAGCACTGCTCCTCAGGAAGCGGCGGCACTTCCCTCCTCGCACAAACTGGGTTTATTCTTGAGGGAAGCAGCTGTTACCATTAGGGACTGTGTCTCTGCTATATAACTCTTGGGAAAGCAGGTGGCTCTGTGGGTATTTTTAAGCATATCGTGGAGAGGGGCTCGTCACTAGGAAATTAAAAACATTTTTCCACTTAATGGTGGATTTGGTTTGTGGTTTTCAGGTGTGTTGCAGGCTCCGGCTGCCCAGCTACATCCATCCCAGTGTCTGCACTTGGGCTCTGCTAACGGGGCAGGCGAGAAGCTGGGGCTACCTGCCTTCTCCCCCCAGGCTGCTGCAGGTTTGCTGCCAGGGCTTGGGCACTTCCCAGTCACCAGGACTGTTTTCCTATCTGCAAGCTGAGGACGATGAGTGTTCGCGGCCTCATTACTGTTAGAAACATGCTTTGAGTCCCTAGGTGAAAGACAGCAGAAGAAACAGAGTGGGCTTTTTATGATTTATTACTTTGTGAAACTTCCTCCTAGGCTTTGCAAGCCAGCAACCCACAGAGGCTTTCGGTTTGTGTCCCACACACATCTCCAGCCTTAAAAGCCCCCTCTAGACATATTTTTAATTGGCTTAGAGTAAAACCAATACTTGGCATAGGATAAACATGAGTCTGTTTGATTTCTACCTCCTTCCATAAAAGCGAATTGGCATCCAATCTCTTCTCCCCAGTGTCAGACCAGAGGGAGGGACCCTGCTTTACATCCCCTGCCACGCAGAGGCTTCCAAAACCGTATGGGACTGATCCACAACTTCCATAAAAGGTCCTTTTCTGGCCTAGTTTTGCTGCTAAGCCCAAGAAAACTCATCTGGCAGGAACATGGCAGGAGGATAAACCTCCTTCTGAGAACACCTCTGTGTTTTTCTGTTTTAGAACACGTGCCGGATGGTATAAATACCTCCCACGTCCCGATCTGAAGGTCTCTTTGACTCACACAAGGGGAAACAGTGCACTTGCAGTTCCCAGTTTCGGTTCACAGGGAGTCCTCCTCCTCCCTCCCTGGTCCAACAGCTCGATAACCACCTCTCCTTTCCTTCCCCAGCTCTCTGCAGACCTGACCTGCAGATTATTTCTCACAAAGTCAAGGTGGTGGCTGTTTCTGGGGGCGGCAGTGTGACCCGGCAGCGCAGTGCAGCATTGGGTACGGGGCCAGGCTTTTCCTTTCCCCAGTTCCTACCGCCGGGGGGGCTCGGCCCTGCTCAGCTCTGAGCGGATCGGTGCCTCTCCACAGAGCCACGGGAGAGGTTTTTGGGACAGGCCACGGGCTCCTGCAGCGATGGGATGCTTTCCCTGCTCAGCATCGATGCCGTTGGTTGCAGTAACGGGCTACGATTTCTCCACCATGTCAGAGGATTAGTCCACAAGCAAACAACCACCTGATTCCAAAGAACTGGCTCTACGAGAGTAACATATTATTGCTTTTGAACATTTGGCTTGAAGAAGCTGTCTCTGTCCGTCTCCTGAAGCCTGTGTCTGCTGATTTGGTCACCTAATGCAGCGTTTGGACTTCACCGTGTGTTTATCTACTCCTTTTTAACTGGAGTTGTAGTCAAAGCATGTTTTTTATATAAAGCCATTTGTGGGAAGATGTACATTATTTATCTTCATGCCTGATACCCAACCCAAGCTGTCTGTCCACAGTTACATGGCCAAAATATATTGAACGATGTTGGAACGTGCGCTCTGTCCCCGGTTTGTCACGGTCCTTTATCACCAGGCCAGCCGTGGGCTGCAAGGGGATTTGTAGCAATGAAATGTCAGGTTAGTCATAAAAACACTTGTTCAGTTCTGCAACATTCATGGGCAATGTGGAAAGAAAACCAATGGGACTTGCGTGGCGTGTGGCTGCTGCTGCCAGTGTCCCATGTCCCAGGGCTGCGTTGTGTGACCATGAGCTTCAGGAGCACAGTCAAACTCCGGAGGGTGTGCTGGGAAGGAGGCAGCAAGGCTCGGAGGGTACGAGTCCAGGGAGGGCACAGTAGCTGGCTACCAACCCCTCCCTGCCTCCCAAAGGCACTTGAGGAAGGATTTACTAAAAGCATTTGGTTTTGTTTTGGTTTTTTTAAGTGCCCACTTAACATATCACTCACTATTCTCCCTGCTTATGGCTGTGAGGAGGCTGGGGGGGGGCTGGCATTGTCATTTAAAAGACTATATTTATTTAGATTCTTACTTGAAGGGGAGGAAATAGATTTTCTAATTGCATCCTGTAAAACTTGAGGGATTGTCAGAGCAAAGTATGATGGTCATATGCCAAAAATAGGAAGCTGTAGGATGAAATTGAAAAGGAAGCTTATCTCGTTACTTACTACTGTCAGGATACCCATGGAGCCACAAACCAGTCGAACACCCACACCCTTGCTGAATATCCAAAAAACGATGTTGAACATTTTGCACCAAATTTAATCCCCTGTAGTGCAGGCTGTTCATGATTAAGCACGATGGTTTTGCTGTGTTGCAACTCACTGCTTTTGCAGGAAACCGAGACAGATACATTCCAAATCGGGTGAGGAAATTAAAGTCCAAGAAGACGTGATGTTCTGTGGACTGAAGCAACCCCAAACCTCTCATCCATGAGTCACGGGATGTGGTTTCCACCGGTCCTTTTGGTGTACTCGGTGAGAGAGAGGTGAGATGCTGAGCTGTGCGAGGGGAAGCTGAAAACCAAGCCTTGGTTTAAGTTTAGGGAGACGTAGGCTGGCGGAAGGGCCTGGAGCCCAAAGTTCAGACTAACCAAAGATGAAAAGGCCATGAGAAGCAGCTCTTGGAGAAGGGGGAGGGACTGGTGACAGTGAGCAAAGGAGGGATGGAGAGAGAGAGAAACAAGGCAGATTAATTCAGCAGTAAAATGTGGCTTTATGCTGTTTAAACCTACCCGCAGAAGTGCTCGATGGTGACGTCTTCTCCGAGGAGGTGCCATTGTGTTTGAAGATGGTATCAAGCAGCAATACGCAGCCAGAGAGACGTCTTGTGGCAAATCAGCTCCTTGGTGAGTTTGTGTCGGGCTGGAGGATCCTTCCCAGCACACCGAGGTCCGTAACCCCCCATCAGGACCTCCTTGCTCAGGCCACGGGGGTGCCGAGCTGCCTGGGCTGCCGCTCCGCGTCCGGGGGCTCCTCCGCCTCGAAAAGGTTGACAAAGCGTGCGCGGGGGGCCGGGGGAGGCGGGGAGCCCTCGGCGGCTGGCAGCAGGCTCTGTTCGTTCCCCAGCACCCCCGAGTCCACCGAGTCGGTCTCGGCCTGCAAGGTGAGGACATTCTTGAGGGAGGTGGCGGCGCGGGGTCCGCTGTTGGAGTTCCTCATGGAGAGGGAGATGGCGCTGGGACGGGGCTCCCCCGAGTGCCGGCAGCAGGGCAGGTACTTGCCCATGGCCCTCTTGAAGTCCCTCATGAAGAGCGGGTAGATGATGGGGTTCATGGTGCTGTTGCAGTACCCGAGCCAGGTGAGCACGTCAAAGAAGCCGGCTGGGACGCAGCTGCAGACTGCCTGCGGGGGGACACACCACAAGGATTAGATCTCTGTTCTACAGAGAGACCTGGATAGATTGGATCGGTGGCCAACGTCAACGGGATGAGCTTCAACAAGGGCAAGTGCCAGGTCCTGCCCTTGGGCCACAACCACCCCCTGCATGGCTACAGGCTTGGGGAGGGGTGGCTGGAGCTGTGGGGAGGAGAAGGATCAGAGGGTTCTCATTGACAAGCAGCTGAACATGATCAGGCAGTGTGCCCAGGTGGCCAAGAAAGCCAACGGCATCCTGGCTTGTATCAGCAATAGTGTGGCCAGCAGGAGCAGGGAGGTGACAGTCCCCCTGTGCTCTGCACTGGTGAGGCCACACCTGTAGGGTTGTGTCCAGGTTTGGGCACCTCAATACGAGAGAGATCTCAAGGGGCTGGAGCGAGGGCAGAGGAGGGCAACGAGGCTGGGGAAGGGCCGGGAGAATCAATCCTGTGAGGAGCCAGTGAAGGAGCTGGGAGTGCTCAGTGTGAGGAGGAGGAGGCTGAGGGGAGCCCTCATCCCTCTCTGCAGCTCCCTGACAGGACATTGCAGAGAGGTTGGGGCTGGGCTCTGCTCCCAGGGAATTAGTGACAGAACAAGAGGGAACGGCTTGAAACTGTGACAGGAGGAACTCAGACTGGGCATGAGGGAAAACTATTTCATAGAAAGAGTGGTCAGAGAGTGGAACAGGCTGCCCAGGGAGGGGGTGGAGTCCCCATCCCTGGGTGTGTTTAAGGGCCGTTGGGATGAGCTGTGGGGGGATGTGGGGTAGGGGAGAACTTTGTAGAGTCAGGCTGAGGGTTGGACTCGATGATCCCGAGGGGATTTTCCAACCTGAATGATTCTGTGGTTCTGTGATTAGCAGCGTCTCCACCTCAGCCCCAATCCAGAGCAGTTTCCCAGCCATGCCAACATCCCCCTTTGAAAAGAACCTTTCAGAACCCTTTTGAAGGTTTTTTCCTTGCTGTTGCTCCCTGTGGAAATTGCATCTTTGGACCCAGAGGCTTTCCAGCAACACCTGCAGGTGCCTCAGATTGAACCCAACTGCATTCAGAGTAAAAACCTTTTGAAAACCTGACATAAAAACCCCGAACGCGCTTACCTGCGCCACGTTGGTGACAAAGAACGGAAGCCAAGCCACGAAGAACATGCCCAGGAGGATTCCCAACGTCAGGCTGGCTTTCAGCGCCTTCTTGCTGTGCTTGTTGGCAAACCTCCTGCTCTCGCTGCTGGCCACGGGCTGGCTCGGGGGGCGGGGGACCTGCAAGTGGGAGACGGGGTGGTCAGCGAGTGACTGTCCCCGGCCTGGAGCTGCCGGCACTGGCACCAGCCTCCCGCCCAGGAAAAGTGGCGTTTGGTGCTGCAAATCCTGCAAAAAAAACCCCACTGTCATTTCCCTTCTCGCAAGGGGCAGGAGGATGGCACACACCGCAGTGCCTGAACCATACATCAGGAAGAGGAAGCAATAGAAACCGTCAACATTGAAAGGATTTTTATTTTTTTTTAACTGTAACATAGGGGCTTTATCATTAAGATGCTTCTTTTATAGAAAAATACAACTCAGTCAATGTTTTGGTGAGAATAAAACATGCCCTAAAGAGGCAGCTCTAGCTGCTGATTAGAGCAGCAAACTAATTATATTTTTAAAAGCAGGACGTGAAACATTTCAGCCTACAAACACCATAACTAACGCAGTCCTCTATCCACTCTTGCAATCTAAAAGTAAATTATTATCTCAGCCCTCCGCCATAATTAAAGGAGGCCCCGGTGTCACTCAGCTTTCTTCCCCAAAAGAGAACAAAAATCCGGTTAAAAAGATGAAACTGAAGGGTCTCCAGGCTGACACCTTGTTTGCAGCTCAGCTTATTCCAGGCACCCAGGAATCTGGGGGGACACTTGTCTCTGCTCAGATACGGGGGGGCAGATGCTGGTTTTCCACAGCAGAGCTGCACCAGGTTGTGTTTGTCGAGCCCAAAAACCTGGCATCAGGGGAGAAAATAAACATTTTATGATATCATCTGTTTATTCTTTAATTCTCATTTTCCCTTTGAAAGTCTGGTAAATCTCATCACGTGCTGGAGAGCCGGCCAGGTCAGGGAGTCCTGGCTCCTTTCTTAAAAGAGAGAGAACAAACTAAATCAAGGTATTTAAAGGCAATTAAGTTTGTCTTTTCCCTGTAGGATATGAGGTCAATAAAGCCTATTACAGGGAATTAAAGCTGTTAGATTTAGTGGCAATTACCTTCTCCTGGAGAAATACAAACAAGTGCAGCCACGTTCTGGTTATAAAAACCACACACACCAGCAGCCGAGTAAGGAGGTATTTTGCAGTTCCCATTATAGACCAGGTAACAAAAATAGAAGCAGGCTTTGCAAAATAAGGTGCTCTCCAGAATCTGGTATTTGCTATTATTTAAACTCCTTCTCCTTCATATGTCTCGCACCCACCATGGCCAAGATTTACGAGTGGAAAGTCAGATAAGATTAAAACCCTCCAGGATGACGCTAGCCAAGGGGGAAGGGGGGGGCGAAACTGCATTTATTTTGTGCTGCTGAGGGTTTTCGCCTGTATCTTAATTTATTTCTCTGCTTCTTCTCCTGCTGTTTCTGTGCTGCTGAGCAGCTGAAAATCACCCCTTGGCTGGGACAAGACACGGGGCACCTCAGAGGACACCAGGGAGGTGCAATTGCCCAGAATTTCCCTCCCTGCAGTCTGGTTGCCAAAGCCCTTTGCCAGCTCCAGCCCCGGGGCCATCCACAAGGCAGAAACACCCCAGGCACCCAAACCAGGGGTGTCTGCAGGGAGCAACATCCCCGTGGCCACCTTACCTGCGGCGTGGTCTCGTCGGTGGTGGTGGTGGTGGTGGCCACGTTGGAGGCGAGGGAAGCCACCTGCACCGCTTGCTTGCGGGCTGCCAGGAGGATGCGGCAGTAGGTGAAGGAGATGGCAGTGGACGGGAGGAAGAAAGTCAGGCAGGAGGCCACCAAGGCGTAGGGCAAGCTGACCAGCAGCCGGCACTGGTCCTCGTCCCCCCGGGAGGTGACGTTTGGGGACCGGACCTCAAACTCCAGCTCGTGCCAACCCATCTTGATGGGTAGGAAGGAGGCCAGCGCAGCCAAGGTCCAGGTGGCCAGGATGAGCCAGAGGGCTCTGCAGGAGGTCATCCGCAGCTTGTACTTGAGGGGGGAGATGATGAGCAGGTAGCGGTCCAAGCTGATGACGCAGAGGTTGAGGATGGAGGCGCTGCAGCACATGACGTCGAAGGAGTACCAGAGGGAGCAGAAGTCACCCCGCAGCACCCAGCGGCCGTAGAGCTGGTTGAGCATGGCGGGGGGCATGACCACCAGCCCCACCATCAGGTCAGACATGAAGAGGGACACCAGGAAGTAGTTGGAGGTGTTGCGGAGAGAGCGCTGGGTGACGATGAGGAGGATGAGGAGGAAGTTCCCCGCCGTGGTCAGCAGGATGATGAAGCAGAGGAAAGCGGCCACCCAGCTGCTCCCCACCAACAGCGAGCGCTCCCCCAGCACGCTGGCGTTGGGGGCCCCCAAATCACCCTCCATGAGGAGCCGGGCGGCGGGGCTGGCTCTGGAGCTGGGGGGACCTTCTCCGGCCGTGACCTGCGCTAGGTGATCATCGCCAGAGCCAGCTCCAGGGCAAGAAGAACCATCTCACTGTCCATCCTCCTTTCTCCTCTCCTCCTCAACCTCTCTTCCCCCCACCTCTCTTCACTGGCAGTCAGGGCAGAGTGACATTCCCAGGAGCCGATCAGCAGTAGCAAGGTTCCCCTCCCCGTTACTCACAGCCAGGCATCTCCTCGTCTCTGCATTTTCCCCGGCGGTGGGATGTCCCTGGATGCTGGGGATGCTCTGGACAACCAGGGAGGCTTGGGATGCTCTGGATGACGGGATGCCCACGACGCCGGGGCTGCTCCGGGCAACGGGATGCTCTGGTGGGCTTGATGCTCACGATGCCAGGGATGCTCCGGGCGGCCGGGATGCTCGAGATGCTGGGGGTGCTCTGGATGCTCTGATGCTCTGGACCAGGGGATAATCTGGACCCCAGGATGCTCCAGATGCTCTGGACCCCAAGATACTTCAGATGCTGTAGATGCTCTGGATCCCAGGATGCTCCAGATGCCAGGGATGCTCTGCACCCAGGATACTCCAGGTGCTGGGACGTTTCAGCTGCTGGGGTTGCACTGAACCCCCAGTGCTTGGCTCTCTGCCCCCCCGCTGGGCTTGGCTACCTGCAGCGCTCGTCCCCCGGGCAGCGGGGCCCCGCTGAGCACAGCTCCGTGCCTGAGCGCTGCTGCTCTTGCAGCCGGAGACAGCGAGGAGAGGCAGAGCAGCCCTGAGGCGAGCGCGGGGATGCTCCCAGCCAAGCTCGCCCGTGAGGAGGAGGAAGATGCAACACGCAGGAGTGTGGGAAGGTGTCTCTCCCCTCCCCGGCAGAGGGGTGTTGAGCGTGCAGGGGTGCGAGTGTAGGAGTGTGTGTGTGTGTGTGTGTGTGTGTGTGTGCAGGTGCCAGCCAGACTTTACCTGCTGCTCTGTGATGCACGGAAAAGGATGCAGAAATGCTGATTCGGAGGAGGTGGGGCTGGGGGGGAAGAGGAGGAGATGAAACGAAATGCTAATGAAAACAGAGATCTGGTCGAAACTCCACAAAGTGGCAGCCAGAGAGTTCGCTTTTCTGTCTTAAAGAGGCAGCCAGCACCGGGCTCTGCAGCCCCACGGCGGGGACCCCGCGGCCACTCCGAGCGCCGGGCTCCAGCCCCCCCAGCACTCCATCAGAAGGGAAATTTTGCAAAGCCCAGTAAAAAAAACCTGCATGCAACAGCCCACAGATGCCTGCTCAGAAAGAAGCCAAAGGACTTGCTGGGTGGTTTTCCAGCAGCCGGGGATGGAGGGTGTGAGCAGAAGCCAGGGGGGTTATTTGCTCCCGCTCCGGGGTTATTTGGGCTGGCAACCCTGGACGGACCCATGGCAACTTGCCTATTGGCAAGTGGGAGGCAACATGTCAGAGAAGCCCTGCTGGCTTCTTCATCCCTTCTAGTTCAGGAGACACTCCTGAGTCTTTAGGCATCCCATGCCATCCCATGCTCCCACCTCCACAGCTCAGGGCTGACACCCCGGGGTGCTGGGCAGAGACTGATATATTTTTTAACTACCCAGCTGCAGAAAGGGTTTTTTTTCTTCAAACAAATGGCTGCAATTTCTGCTGGGGGGAGCCGAGAGCTCTGACCCCAGCACAAACCAGAGCTGTGTGTGCGTGTCTCCATTGTGCCACCGCACCTACCCCTGCGGTCCCAGACCCTGCCAGCTGCTGCCCTCACCTCCCTGCGCTGCTGCCGAGGCTTTCATGAGCACACTTCCCCCAGGAAGATGCTGCTGCAGATGTGAGCTCCAGTTGTGCTGGCCTCACACCCCACCGGCCCCATCCCACTGCAGCCCCGGTGCCGCCTGCGCTGCCCAGCCACCCTCCCCGGGACAGGAATTTGTCTTTTTACCAAGATCTGCTTTTCTAATCACCTTTTCAACAACTTTTTGTGCTTTTCTCGGTGGCTGAAGGGGCAATTCAGGTCTCTGAGCAAGGAGATGCAAACGGGACTCACTCACCTCTGCGTGCGGACACAGCCCGTACACACCCCGTTGCCCCCCCCCACTGGTGTTCACTGGGAAAGAGCTGCTGTCACTGGTGCCCGGACGAGCTGTCCCGGGAGCTTGTGCACGGCGCCTGCCTTCCCTCTGCTGCCCCAGGACCCTCTCCTCGGATGCTCCCAGCCAAACCTCCCCGGCCACCTCTGCGTCACTGGCCTGGCAGGCGGCCCAGGGCAGAGCACACACACGCGAGGCTCTGATCGCAGCAGGAGGTTTCTTTAGAAAAGCGCTTGTACCAGGAAACCCTCATTTCCTCGTCCCATCTGTGCTGGGAACAAGCAAGAAAACCCACCCCAAGCCCACACTGCGGCAGCCTCCCCAGCTCGGGTAGATCAATGCAGCAGCACAGATGGGCCCACGCTGGTGCTCTCCGAGGAAGTCACGCCTCAGCGTAACGCCGCGCGTCCTCCTCAGCCCTGCTGCACCCCAACCTTAGGAGCATTTACCTCCAGAGAGTTTGTCTCCAGATAACATTTATCTCCAGAGTTTTTGCTTCAGAGAAGGAGGTTGGATCGGGAGCGTGTCCTCCACAACGAGGTACGTGGGAGGTTTTGCACGCCTGGTTTGGATGCGTTTGCTGGGGAAGTGAATCTGAATTAATCAAAGCAAAATGTGTTTTAAAAAAAACCCTGACTTAAAACGAGGTCCAGATCCTACCGTTGCCCCTGCAAAAGCTTCTCTGCTCCGGTGGCTCTGCTGGCCTCTGTGCTCTCTCCCCTGTGCTGCGTTTCTGGACACATCTGCAGGGGATCATGGTTTCCACCAGCTCTGCTCGCCAGTACCACTAGCAGGGAAAGCAAAACCAGGTTGTCAACGGCCACCCAAACGTCACCATGGCAGAGAACAGGCTGGTGAGCTGGGGTGCGTAAAACTGGAAGGCTGAGAGACCTCGGTGAGGACATCCGGGCAGTTGTGCAATCTAGGCTCAGGATCTCATTCCATCCTTTAACCGGGACGGCTCTTCAGGGCAGAGCCTGGCTAGCTACCTTGCAAGCTTTGTGTTTTCAGCTGCAAAACGGCCCTCCCTTGCCTGCCTCCACTGAAACTCCGCTCGTGTCCAAATGAGCAGAGACATCCTGCTCCAAACCCTGAACTGCAGCTCCTGGAGTTTATAGGAACAGTCCCCCTGCTAAATCCAGCTCCTGTTTTCTCTGTACACCAATAAAAGGGCCACGTGATGGTGGTCAGTGACAGCCTGGGTTTCTCCACCTTTTCCTGCCTCCTGGCTCTCCAGTAAAGCTCCCATTCTTAGCAGGACACACTTCACAGCCTAGAAAAAATTATCTTAATGCACAGGACATGTCCACCCCTGCCAGGGCGCTTCCTTTTCAGCCCGTCCCTTCGTTGTGGCAGCCTCCTGCCCCTCCGGCAGCAGACGGGACCTTCCCTGGGGTTAGGCTCAGTCCAGGGAGCACCAGCTGATCGTTTCCGAGGGCACAGCCACGCAGCAGCGGGACTGGAGGTTTGCAAGGTCGTGCTTGATCCAAACACCCTTGGAAATAACCCAGTGGAGGCGCTTGGGTCCCCTCCTCACCCACGAAGGGATGTCCACGTCGTGTCCAAGTTTGCCTTCCTCCAGTCCAGAGGCCGCTCCTGGAGGCCACCAACATCTGGCTGCCGCGAAACACGCTGGATCAAGAGTGTCACCTAGTGGCAACAGAGCCGATAAAGGTTGCGGGATCCCGCAGAGACCCCACGCACTTCCCACACAAGTGGGACCCGACAGCCCTTAAACCTCCAGGCTGCAGCGACTCTCTGGAGGAGAACCGTGCCTGACGCGCAGGCTCCCTGTGAGCACCTGCAGCCCAGATGCTGAGGATCTGGGGTCGGTTTTTCTTTTAGCAGCTCTCCCTCCTCCTCCTCCTCCCAATCTGGACGCAGCAGAAAGCTGAAGGGACCCGTGGCTCTCCTGTACCCTGAACCCTCCTGTGGGGTCCTGCTGGAAATGGCCTCTCCCCCCCAGTCAGCACTGAGGAGCCCACTGCCAAAAACCAGCCAGCATCAGATCACTGAGAAATGGAAGTCAGAACTAATTTATTTAAGAAAAAAAACACCAAAAAACCAAACCAAAATAAAACCACCCTTGTAAAAAAGGAGGGGGAGGCATCGATTACAAGCTCTGGAAGCTCTTGTCAGGACAGCGCCAAAGAAATCAGCTTTATACAACAGAGAGAAAGGGGCAGCGGGAGGGGCCCGGGGCCGTCCCCCCACCCCGAGCCTCCCCAGCCCTGCGTCAGCAGTCCCCGGCAAAGGTACATCGGCATCCCGGCACTCGCCCCCCTTCTCCCTCCACCACCGTTAAAGTGCAGCAGCGAGAGGGGGGAAGGGGCTGGCTCCCACCCCAGGCCACCCCTGCTCTTGGCCTTCCCCTGCGGGGCCACGAAACGTGAAGCCTCAGAGCCCGCGGCGACCCCAAGGTCGGGGCTCTCACTGCCACGGTTCCCCGCAGCCCCAGAGGCACGGCTGGGGGTAAAACGCTCCCCCAGAGCTGCCTAAACCAAGGGGTTTGGGGGTTGAATTTAAGAGTCGGTGGGTGCCAGGAGGAACAGCACGTCCCCCCCGCTGAGCCCACGCATCCGCAGGCAGGCGGGCAGGGCAGGCAGGAGGACGAAGGGATGCTGCTGGTCCCACGCACCCCAGGGGAGACCTGCATCTCTTGTGGGACTGCGGAGGGGCTCCATCCCCTCTTCCTCCACCCCAGGTACAAGCCATTTACAAGAGAAAAACCCAGAAGGACTCAGCAAAGGCTCCACAGGAGGTTCAGGAGCCTGCAGACAGCCCCTGGGGAGCCCAGCTCTCAGCCGAACCCCCCGTGTCCGGGTTCCCACTCCTCTCAATATATTATTATTATTATTATGTGCAAGTAGGTTTGCATCAGAAAATGCCGAGCCCTCCTCTCTCGCCCCGCAGCTCCAGCCCCATGTCCACCCCTCAGCCCTGCTTGTGCCTCAAAACATTCCTGCAGCCCCGGGGTGTCGTGGAGAGCAAAGCGTGAGGGTAGCTATTAGACAGGAAAGACTCCACCACCCCCCTCCCTCCCCAAACCCCGTCCCTCTCCCTCACACACACCCCCTGCCCACGCCGCCGGCTGCCAGGACAGTCCGCAAGGGCCAGGTCACTCGTCGGCCTCCTCCTCGTGATGGTGGTGGCTGGAGGCAGGAGGTTCTTCCACCTCCTGTTGGTGGTGGGCGTAGTGATGGGGGCTGGGACCTTCGGCCGGCATGTTCTCCTCCGCGTTCAGGTAGACGTTGAACAGGGCTCCCTCGTGGCTCGGCTCCTTCCCGCAAGCCTGGCAGCTACAGTGAAGTATCTTCTCCACCAGCTTGTCAACCCTGGGGATCTCATCGTTGCCTGGACAGTCCAGTGTCACCTGGGTGGAAAGGATGAGGACATGGGGAGTGAGTGTGGCCCGGATGGCCAGTGGGTCACAGAATCATCTCAGTTGGAAAAGACCTTGAGGCTCCTCCAGTCCAACCATGAACCTCACCCTGACTGTTCCCAACTCCACCAGATCTTAGACCGGCTCTGAGGAAGGATTTCTGTGCAGAAGGGGCTGTTGGGCGTTGGAATGGGCTGCCCAGGGCAGGGGGGGAGTCCCCGGGATCCCTGGAGGGGTTGAAGAGTCGGGCTGAGCCAGCACTGAGGGATCTGGGGGAGTTGGGAAGGGTCAGGGTGAGGTTCATGGTTGGACTGGAGGAGCTTCAAGGGCTTTTCCAACCTCAGTGATTCTGTGAATCTGTGATATCCCTCAGCGCTATGTCAACCTGACTCCTAAACCCCTCCAGGGATGGGTCTGGCCTGCCCCATGCCCTGCAGATTTTGGGGGATTTTAAGCCAGAAGCGATGGCTCATTGCCCACACGGACACAGCTCCGCAGGCAGCCTGCAAGGGAAGAGACCTCTTGCAAGGACACAAGCTGCAGAGACCTGGGGAAAACGCCCCGACTCAAGCAGGACGCTGCTCCCAGGCACTACCGGCACAGAAATATCGGTGGTAACCACAAAGGCCACCCACGAGATACATTGCTGAGCATCTCTGTTGGTTCGAACCAAAACATCTGCCCAAATGTGTGAGTTGAAATCAAAAGCAGAGCTGAACCCAGCTCCCTGGTTTATGGCTCTGCCAGGATCAGCGATGGCATGAAACCGGGAGGTCCGAGGGGGACGGGCAGATGGGCTGTGGGAAGCGCTTCTGGATGGTGGAGAAGGCAAAAACTCCCAAGCGGGAGGAGACGACAAAGGGAGTGGTGGAGAGAACAGGCACAGGGGATGAGCACAGGGATGAATAATGCAGGGACTGACGGGGGATGCTTCTGCAAACAAAGTGACAAACGCATCATTCATCACAGCTGTCACGTTGTTTTCAGCAGCCCCTTCCACCCAGGCATCTGGAGACAGGGTACAGTCACCTGAGAGCCACCCTGAAAGGAAACTACGAGTGGGAAAACCTCAGGAAAGGAGAAGGATTTCCCCGCAAGTGGTGGCAGAGCAGAGCTGAGAGCCCCTGAGCGAGGCCCCATGGAAAGAACCGTGGAGCAGGTGGATACTCACGATTTCCCACATGGACTGGGCTGGCATGCAGGAGTCGCAGTGAACCAGGGACTCTGTGGACTGAGGGAAGGTGTTGGGGACGCTGTAGCTGAAACACTGTCCCAGGCAGGCCCTGCAAAGACAACAGCAGGGGTGAGGGCTCAGGGGAGGTGCCTGCTCTTCCCAACACTGGCAGAAGGAGGTTTGACCTTCCGCGGAGACGGGCTGAAGGCAGGACATCGTGCCTGGCTTCCTGTGCGAGTGACAGTCCCCAGGGCCGCTCCGGTGCCACCTGCAAACGGAGATCAGCTGCATCCAGCTCTGCGCTGGGGCTGCATCCGTACCTGTTCTGGATGGACTTGGACTCGCAGCCGCTGTGCCCCACGATCTGGGTGATGTTCTTGGCCTCGCACCAAGCGCTCTTGTCCGGGAAGAGGGCGAGCTTGTTTATGGGGGGCGGCGCGGCCAGGAGCAGCGCTGGGAAGAGGGCCCCAACCACGAACCATAACATCATGGCCAGCTCTGCCAAAATCCTACAACTGCAGACAGAGAGCAGAGCGTTAGCAGGGGAGGACACAGGCAAGCAGACCCATTTCTTGAGCCCGTGGCAGTTGTTGGCTGCGACGAGCACAGGGACGTCCTCGCAGCGTGCCGGTACCCTCATCCCCCAGAACACGGCACGGGGAGCGGGACAGGCTGTGCTGCCTCTTCCCTTTCAACAGCAGCTCTGAGGCAGGCAGGCACCTGCATTCCTGCTCCTGAGCTCTCTGCCAGCAGCAACAGGGATTTTCATCATTTCCCACCCAAAGCTGGGCCGGGAGAAGTTTGCAAAACACAAGCGTCACCGCCATGGGCCGAGCCAGGTTGGAGAAGTCGCGGACCGCAGAAATGTTTTTATTTGAGGAAGGAGCAGGCTTCTCCACTTCCTTTTCTCCCACCTTGACAGCCACAGCTGGCCTCGCTGCGAGCCTTCCCAGAGGAGAGGGGGGCTTTCCCGGGAAGGGGAGCCGCTCTCCTCTGGGAGCGCGCGGCAGGTGTCGCTGCAAGGCAGCAGCAAACGGGGAGACCTGGAAACCTCCATCCAGAAACCCTCAGAATAGACCAGTGCGGAGTTTATTTTTATAGAGGCGCTCAGATTCAGCGGACGGTTGCTCTGAGGACAGGACTCAGTCTGCAGACAAAGGGGGTGCTTTTCACAGCGAGCCTAAACCTCACTCGCAAAGGTGGTCGGCCGAGGAGGTTACTTACCACCCCCAGAGAAATCCCACGCCGGATTCCTTGCGGGCCAGCTCTGTTCCCGAGCCAAGGTGCCTGCATTAACACTCCCAATCACTGGGGAAAGGCAGATGGAAAAGCATCACAGAAATAGGGAAATTTTTTCCTTTGTGGGGTTTGGATGGAGTCACAGTGAAAAGCAGACATTTATACTTTCTAAAATATTTGTTAGAACCGTGTTATTTGTTATTTCCTTCTGTTTATTTATCCAGACGAAGATCCAAAGCCCACACTGGAAAGACTCCTGTTGATTCCCATGGCTCCTGAGCCCAGCCCTCTAACACTTGCTGGGGAAGGAGAGGAAAAAAACGCCTTGTTTATCAGACACCGGTGTCAGAGGCAGCTCTGCGCTGGGGATCCCAGCCGGGCGGTCCCCGGTCACTCACTCTGTCTGCACAGTTGGCACCGACACATCCTCGGCTGGAGGACCACCACGTTTATCTAAATGATTGAGATGGGCCTGCTAAGCACCTCTCGCAGCTCCAGCTCTGATATTTTAAAGTCATTATGGGGCAGAGGGTTCTGCCCTGTTACCCCTCCACTGAGCCCAACCTCCTGGACCTGAATCAAGAGAGATGAGAGAGAGATGCTTCCCCATCCTCCAACCCAAGGCAGCCAGAAAAAGGGCAGCCTCATTCCCTGGCCTTGGGATCTCTGGAGGAATCAAGTGAGGTTTGTGCTAAATTTTCTTATTTCCTGCTGACAGGGGAACCGTAATGGTGTAACACAGCCAGACCTTTACATCCCTGGCTTCCTAATCCTCCCAGCACTTGTTCATGTGAATCCCACAGGTCCCCGCTGAGAATACCTGCACAAAGCAGGGTTTGCAGGACTTGGTTTGAGATAAGCAGAGGGTTTTAGCCCTGGAGTTTGCACTGCCATTCAGAAGAGCAGTGTGGTTAACTGCATTTGTCCTGAAGACACCTCTTAGGGCTTACTTCTGCTCCCTGAATTTTATTTTTTTTTTCATTTCAGTGGGGGGACTCTGCAATTTCTGCTAAGGAGCACACGGCTAAGCTGCACAAACACAGACTTGGTTTGCTTGGTTTTCTGAAAGGAGCATCACTCATTCCTCAAATGCCAGCAGCTCCTTGCTGAGGAATCCTGCTCCCAAAGGCAAGTCCGAGATCAGAGCTGGGATGTGACCCAAACAGCAATCACAGCCCCGGGGGGAACAGCCGAAATTCCTCTGGAGTCAATACACAAGTTCACTTCCACATGCCCGATTAGAGAGCAATTTCCTTCTTTCCAAAGAAAAGGTGGTGGCTGTTTTTTTTCCAGCTTTCTATGCACCTCTACTCGGCAGCAGAGAGGCACACATTTCTGTCTGCGCTGACAGCTCTGCTTCCCTGGAACCTTTTCTTTTCCTGGAGGGAGGTGTTGGATACAGAGGTGTTTCTGCAGCGCTGGTCAGAGCAGCCCCAGTGCCAGATGACGGATCATCTCCCAGCATCTGTCTCGCTGCGATACCGAGAGGAAGATGAGTGAGGTAGTGCTCTGCTAAAGCACAGGACCTGGCCTGGATTCAGGAAAGCACTTAAACATATGCTTAAACCCTCTCCTTTCCTGAGCAAGGACGTCTTTATAAGCAGGGCCCTAGCAGCACGGCCGCTGCTCCGGTTTGCAGAGGGGCCGTAGGCGAGCCGGGGAACCAGGTGCCTCTGTGGAGTCGGAGCAATTGCAGCTTCACCCCATTTTTCAGGGCACTCAGGTGCTGGGCACTGCTATCCCCCACTGACTTCAAGTCCTGAACAGGCCACATCCACACGGTTGTTTTCCTTCTCCCAAGAATGCCCTGGAACCCGCAGGGCCACATTTCTAGTAAGTAACGAGGTTTATGCCAGTGCCTAGGAAAACATCTGATGCAGCTGAGTTTGGGAGGGAGCTGGGGCTGGAAACAGCCTCCTCGCAACCACGGCATGTTCACTGGCATAGTTCAAACCAGTCATGCGAACAGGGCTGCCACTAAAACCATTCATCTGACAGCAGCCACAGGGTCGGAGACAAAAGCACCGTGTTCCTTCTCCCCCCGGCTGGGAAGGGAAGGGAAAAAGGAAGACAAGGCACCCGAGCAGGTTTGCAAACTCCCGATTAAATAAAGGCATTGAGCACATTCCTCCGTGACAAGCTAAATTACACGTTGCAGCCCCTAAAGGAACAAGTGTGTGCTCCCCGGCGCTGACCCCGGCCCTGGCCTGCATTTCCCCGCACACAGGGGCTTCTTTCTCTTCTCCGCACCAGGGCACATTTTTTTTCCTGCTAGTCAAAGCTTTTCAAGCAGAAAGTTCAGCTCAGTTCCGGCAGACCCATCAGCCCGTGAGGGTCTCCCCCCTCTCCCTCTGCAGGGAACCGTATGGCAGCTTCCTCCGCCATCCCTTCAGCACGCATTTCAGAAATCAAATGACTCAGCCTTTGAGCCTGGCACATCCCGGACTCCGGAGACAAACAACTTCTCAGCACACGCACAGCTGCAGCCTTGTGGTGAGCAGCCCCAGAGCCCTTTTCCAGCCTGTCCCCATGCCCAAGGAGCTGAGGGGCAAAATGTCCAAGGCTGATGGGTCTCAGCTGTACCAGCTCAGCATCCCTGCGAGGCCTGGAGAGCCTGGCAGGAGTCCGGCCCGTGGCTGAGCCATCGGTTTTGAGAGCTGGTGGTAGCACGCTCCGATGTTTTGTGTCACCTAGAAGAGCTCCTTCCTCCCATCCCGGCAGTGCCGGGGACTCTCAGGAGTCCCGCAAGCAGGACGGTCCCCGCCAACGCCTGGAAGCAGCTGGGAAAATCTACATCGTTATATCGGCTGGAGGACAATCACGGGAATTACCTCGGAGGCCCCGTTCCCACCATCCAGCCCACAGCTGTTCTCAGCCATTTGGAAACCAAACACTTCTGGAGGAAAATAAAAAAGATCTAATCAGTTTTACCCTCTTTTTCCAGTGGGAAGTTTACACCATAATACAAGACAAGCCTGCAGGTGGACATGGGGAACATTTCATGAGTAGTTTAATATATTTATAGGTATTTTTCTTATCCAGGATCTTGCAATTTTGCCAAACACATAAAAGCACAGACACAGGTATATTGTGCTCACGGCCACACACGCAGCATCCCAGGTTCTGAGAGACAAGAAACCCCGAAACTTAACAAACATTGCTTAGCCAAGGCTCAAAGCCTGCGAATACAGCACAGAAATAGTGTCAGCTCCACGCTGCAGCTAAGGAAAATGAGGTACAAAGCCAGGAAATGGCCTCACCTCAGTGCCTCAACCAGGGATTCAGGCCCTGGTGTGAGGTGCATGAGATCTCCGCAGAGATGGCCGAGGTGAAGGTTTCAGCTCCTGGTCTGGATTGGAGCTGGGACCTCCACCTTCCTCTCCTGCCTCCCAGCCAGCTCCCCACCCGCCTGGCTCTCAAGCTACACCGCGCCGAGCTGCCCCGAGCAACCCCAAGTTGGTGTTAGACAGGAATCACAGGGTCCTGCCTTTGTGTTCAGCTAGTTACTTGTGCCATTTTGCTGAGAAGAGCTGCTGCACAGCGCTGCTGGGAGAAAAGGAGGCCCCAAAGACCCGCTGCTGAGCACACACTGCTCCGTGCCTCAGTTTCCCTGCTCGTAAGAGCAGAGACGGGGGAGCGCCGTGCACTGAGCCAGCTGATGGGTGCAGAGAGAGTGGAAAAGCACAGGGAGGTCTTGGGAGCTCCTTGGCTTCCTTCGAGGGATGAGGCTGCCCGGGGCAGGAGGGGAGGGACGGCTGCCAGCAGCCCTTGCCCCACACGATGCAGGAAGGTGCTCGGGGAAACGCCGCGTCGCAGGGCAGGTGGGAGTCAGGCCGGGACGCGGCTGTGGGGTGGGGGAGTCATGCAAGGACACCCAAGGGTGGGGGGAGGCATGCAAGGACACCCTGCTGCAGGGCAGGGGCTGCCCGGGGAAGAGAAAACTCTCCCAGGACTCGGGTGGGATCGCTCCAGTGCGGGGAGGTGGCCAGGAGCGATCTCGTCGCAGGGAGCTGTAAATGCTAAAAGGTGACCGATTATTTAGGCACCTAAAAGGAAGGAAAGCCACAGTAAATGTCTGATTTGGTGGCAACCGGAAAGAAACGTGTATCTGTCCCAGAAAGATTCAGGGCATGGCTCTCCTCACACACAGGGTTTTGTCTGTACAGTAACTTCTGGATACTACAGGGAATTGCCTCTTAGGAATCTCAATTCAAATAAAATTTGCTTACATGGAACAAAAAATATTATAAGCCAGCATTATTAGCAGGAAAAGTTTAAACTGAGAAAACCTGTAAAGTCACTGTGACTGAAAAAAAACCAAACCAAAACTAACTGATTTTACTCCATACTTCCCCTTTTCTGCAATTCGCATTTAGCTAAAACTTTACATTTTTCAATTTGGTTGCAAAAAATACAAAGTACAACCCTCTTTTGGGAACTCTGCTGTTGTGCCTGCAACAGCCCAAATTACTCTGATCGATGTCACCGTATCACCGGGGGAGAGGGAAGAGAACTATGCACTGAGAATGTCTAGAGGTAATTCTTGAGGACAGCAAGACAGATGGGTGCTAAACTGAACACACCAGTCTCTTCTGAGCTGAGAGCTTCCGTCTTGCTTCACTGAGCTGCAAAATTTGGGAAGAAATTAGCAAAAAAAATTTTAAAAGGAACTGCCATAGGAGACATTTGATACTTCACATGCAAAAGAATCCGTCTTAAAAACTTTTTGATAATGGAGCAAAAGCCATGTCATTTCTCACTGTGGACCTGGCTGTCTCTGCTCCTTTCAAAAGCAGGAGTTGTGAGAGCTTCCCTTTCCGTAACATATTAATTTCCACTCAAGCATGGTTGAGCGGTTCACAGAAATAAAGCAGAAACAGAGAAAAGCAATGCAGCATTTTTAAAGCCCTCTCCCCTCCCAACACTTTGGACAGAATTTCAAAAGACTTCGGTACACTGGGAGTTTAAATCTGGCTTCTTGAGCATGCACTGAGCACTTGAAAAACTCATTTTATGCAGCTGGCAAAAAAAACCCCAAGCCCTTTTACCTACAAAAGTCATTGGAAAGCTACCTGTGGACTTAGATAGGCTTAGACTGGGGTCCTAAAGGAGCTCTGCTGGAAAAGGGACACACTAATGGCCTGTGTGAGAGCAGTATAAACGGTTTCTGGTAATTTATTTCAATTGCTCAATTTCTTCAGCATTAAGAACAATCACGGCCAGGAAAATGCATCAATCTACAGCACAGGAAGATATCCTGGCCCCACACCACCCTCCACTCCCCGTCTTCTTCAAGCACCTGCTCAAAATGTGGGGCTCGGCAGCCCCTAAGGGCAGCGGGGCAAGAGGGCTGGGAGCGAGGATCAGCTGCGGGGGGGCCCTGGAAAACCAGCCTGGTACTCCAGTAGATTTGGGGAGCAGAGGGACTGGGGTGACTCAGCAAACTGGGGAAAGGGAGAGCGTCCAGGCTGCTGAGACCCTGCGCAGGGAAGGACGAGTCTGCCACATGCTTTGGCCAGAAACGGTCCCCAGCGGTAGGTCGTAGCGAGCGCCTTGCAGATAACATGAGAAATAGGCACTTTCCACCCCAGCTGTGAGCAGCGTTTCAGCCAGAGGCCTCGCTCGCATGTCTGGACCTGACGGAGGCTCGACTCCCTCCTCCTGCGTTTCCCCTGGAGCTGGTGTTTCCCACACGCTCGCTGCGGCGAGAGCAGCCGGCAGAGCCCCGGCTGGGGCCGAGGGTGTTGGCCGGAGCTCTGCCCATGCAGGGGGTGACCCGTGTCCAAGCAGGACAGTGGATCCAAACCCCTTGTGCAATCCCGTGCCGTAGCTGTGACTGCTGCCCTCCAGCTGGGCTGCTCTCTCTAAAGCTGGCCCTAGCCCCCGCCAGCAGCTTCCCACGCAGCGTGGGACGGGGCTGCCTTCCCTCCCTCCACCACGGCATCGCTCGCCGAGAGCCTGACCACTGACTCGCCCAGAGCACCTGGCTCGCTCTGCCCGGCGCAGGCACACCGTTGCCCTCTGCAGCTGAACCCTCCTTTTTCGGTGAAAACAACTTCCCCAGGGCCGGCGGTAAAACCCGCACCGCCTCTGGCAAGGGTCCCAAGAGTCGTTCACTTTTCCCCGTGTTTGATTTGCACGCAGGCACCAGCGATTTCCCCGGGGAGCCCTTCTCCCAGCAGGCCCAGTTCTGCTTTCACTTACGAGTGAGGTAAACTGGGACCGGCTCCTCCAAATGACTCCACTGGTGCAAATGAGATCAGAATCTGGCACCGCTCGTCTTACTCAAAACAAGCATAACTGGAACCAGATAAAACCAGTTCTAGTACATAGTGGCCACCAGGATTATTATTTTTTTAATTTAGCACACACGCCGCGTAAGGCCATCCTGCAGTCAGAGATGGGAGTTGTCTCAAATGCCAACCACCACGCTGGCTTTCGGCTTGCTCGGTCATTCATTACCAAACTTGCATAAAAAATCAAGCCCTGTCCTACGCAGCGGGGTTGCGCTTGCAGGATCAGGTTCCCAGCTGCTGGAGCAAGAGGGGGAAAGAGGGAAGGAGAAAGGGGTTTGAGGCTGAAGCTGTGGATCTTTCAGTGACGGTTCAGGATCCTTCCTGCCGTTTCCCTCTCCCTTTACACCCATTTAGGCCGTATCCTGCCTCCAACAGCAGAAATCCAGTTGACCCGGGTGCTGTTTCACCCTCTTTTTTAATCTCTGCTTTACGCTGCACCAGCCTTCCCACTTTTGATGACATAAACCCCAAGGTCTGTGTTACTGACCCATGGCACTGACTGCAATATCTCCAATACTGAAGCGTTAAAACATGTGGCACTGCAGGGCCAGAGGCTGTCGGAGGTAACGTAACAGCTCGCAGCCCGGTTGGGTATTTTCAATTACTACCAGACGTGCCGGGGGCTGACCTCACACTTGACTTTTAGACACTGTCTCCTAAAACTGCAGGATTGGGCCCGGTAACCACAGCGAAACCAAACTGTGAAGCGAATGCGGGTCTGGACAAGTCATCTGAGCTCTGTATCAGAGAAGGAGGCTTAAGCCACATGTGAGCAATTGGCCAAAGCGAGGGGCCGATCCTGACGCCATTTCCAAAGCTCAACTCCAACGGATTGAAATCTTGGCTGGAATGGGGGTAGCGGCCCAGCCCAGCCCAACTGGTAGAACTGAGTGTTGGGCTGCTCCCTTCCCACCACCGGTGCTAATTTACACCCAGGAAAGCCCTGGCCCCCACCGCCCCGCTGTCTCTCCCTCCCTAAACAGCGCTGTGCGAGAAACAAAGGTCTGGGCAAACGGCAAGCGCCGCTCCTGCCAGGGCTAACGGGAGGCGGGGGACAGACCACCCTTCATTCCCACTCCGGTCCTCCCCTGAAAAGATTTTATCAGCCGCTCAGGTTTTTAAGAGTCTGATTTGATCAGCTGGGAGGTTTCTTTGCCCTGAGCTGTGCTGGATCCGCAGTACTCTGGTCCTTGCTTTATCGCAGGGGATCTCCGAGCCCGGGTGACTAAGCAGAGGGGGTTTTTTCCAGCAGACTTCAAAAAAAAAAAGAGCAGGAGCAAGGCCCTAGGACAGAGCGAGTCCCCAGCTCTGCCTGCCCCGCGGTCACGGCAGCTCCGATACGGGAGCCGGGGGAGGTTTTGCTAACGCTGGAATGGGAACAGCACAGAGCCTGGGGAGGGATAAGTGCCCGGGAGTTTGCTCGGCTTCTCGGGCAGGTTTCCCACGACTGTACCAGCTTAACACGACCTCGGCGATGCCAACACATGCCGTGAGCAAAGTTACTCCAATACGGGCAGGTCTTCA